TTGGGGGGGGGGGTTTTGGGGGGGCCGGACAGGGTTCCCGGGGGCGGGTCCGGTTCCGGTTCCGGCTCCGCCCATAAAGCCCTTTTGCCCTGGGGGTTTTGGGGCTTTGAACGGCGCGGCGGCCCGGCAAGGCGAACCCCCATTTAAGGGGGGGGGAGCTTTTTTTTTTTTTGGTGGAGGGGGGGAAGTCCCCCTGGGGAGGTTGGTCCAAAAAAAAAGATTTTTTTACCTCGGGGCACGGAATTCTTGGGGTCCCCTTTTTTGTGGAGGAAACCCCTTTCCCCCCCCCCCCCCCCCCCGTCGTAGTTGCACACTCTCCACGCCACACGGGCTTGGACGCGGAGGTTTGTTGCGTCGCCCCCTCTGTAGGTGCTCCCCGCCGTTCAAGCCACCGTGGACAAGTTCTCGAGGGCTGCTCACGGTGCCGCCGGCCGGACGGCAGATGCGTGGCGCGACCCGACCCTCGCCGCCGCCGACGTGCGCGCCCGCTCATACCCCCGCCGTTTCGGTTGTGGCGTGAAATGTTTGGGTCACGGTGGCTGAGCCGGTCCTCAATAGGCGCGCGCAACCCTTTTCACCGTCTGCGGCAGATTGGGCCTCGACTACGCGCTCCCTCGGGAGGCGGCGGAGAGAGTGCAGGAGGCGACGCCTTTGGCCACGCCGGCACGCGCACGCGTCTCCCCGCTCACATCTCCATGGCGCTGGTCAATCGGCGAGAGCCCTCTAGCAGCGGCGGAGAAGGGGCTGAACGGCGCACCAGAGAAAATGGCGCTGACCGGGGCGGCGGCGGCGACGACCGACGACGGAGAGCAAGGGTTCGACGCGGACCTCGCCGCCATCCGTGCGCGCCCTTGACGGCGGCCCGGTGTGTGCTTGTTCCCCGAGCCCCCTCACGTTCTCTGGCTTCCCGCTACGCGTGTAGGTGCGCGCATCGCGAGTGGGTACCGCCAGCAGCGCGGCTCTGCTGTTTCGCCGCGCGGAACCGATGTCGCCGTGCCGGCGCCTGGGCGGGCGCTTGCGCCAAATGCTCCGGCCGCGTTTGCTGCCGTGCAAGCCACCGAACGCTCCCCGCCGGCCGGGTTTGGTGCGAGGTGGGAGGACCAGGAGTCGGAGATTGGTTCGACCGCGTCTTCGGTGCGTTGGGTCGGCTCCCCGCACAAGGCGCGGCACGAGCGCGGCTACGCCGAGGGCGCCCGCGAGACGGGGCGCTTCAGGGCCCTGACGAACCCGGGGACGATCGACTCGGACCCGATCTCGCGGGCAGTCGCGTTGCTGGGTCGGCTCCCCTCTGTCGGATCCGCCTTTGCAGCATCCGACGTGAGTGCCGTGAGTGCGACCGACCGAGAGGTGGCAGAGCTGATGAAACAGCCGGTCCTGGACCACGGGGAGGTGGTGGAGGAGGCCGAGGTGGACGTCGTCCGGGTGGTGCCGCGGCGGCACCAGGCTCTGCCAACGCCCTCCCAATTCGGAGACTTTGGCTCCGATGTGGGAGGGCCCACGATGGCGGATCTGGGATCGCTCATGCAAAACATGGACGCTTTTCGTAGCAGCATCGCCGCGGGCGGCCTCGAGGCCTTGCACGAGGCTCCGCCCGAGGACATGGCCGCCAAGGAGGACCGCGAGGAGCAGTCGTGGATGGCAGCAGAGCCGCCGCCGCCGCCGCCGCCGCCGCCGCCGCCGCCGCCGCTGCCGCCGCGTTTTGAGAGCCCTGTGCGCCTAGTGGATCTGGCTCCGCCGTCCGCGGGCGCCGCGGGCGCTTTCCCGGGCTTAGGCGGCGCGTCCGGCGCGGCGGCTGTGGGAATGCCGGACGAGGACGCTGCAGACGCCACGGATACGAACGCCGGTGCCTCGGTGGCCGGTGTGCGGAGCCAGAGGGCGGGCATCGGGTCAGAGGAGGAGGAGGACTTAGGAGCTGTGCTCGATGATGACGAGGAGGGCGAGCTGCTGGATGCGGAGGAGGAGGAGGAGCAGCCGCTTGGCGGCGGCATGGACATTTGAGGAGACGCCGACGAGTGTTCGAGATAGAGCGAGAGAAGGTGAAGAGAACGAAGTCTGAGTGAGACCAGTGAAGGACATCAGACGCTTTTTGCGTGGTAGTGTGCCCGTTCGCGCCCGTGGTGTACTTGTGTTCGTGCCAGTGCGCGCCCGGACGCCGTGCCCAGAAAGCACATCATTCTTTTTGATTCAAAAAATCTTTTTTGTGGCTCACGTGGGTACCTGTGTGTTGTTTAGTGCCAGAAAGAATAAGAATTTCTCGGGTCCGAGGGCCGCCTCAACTGGAGTAGGGAAATTTGGATTTTGGTCAAACGCCTGCTGGGGGCAGCTTCGCGGAAGTATTCCGGAAGCCAGATGATCCCACTTGTCAACAGCAGGCGCCAGCGCCAATCAAATCTCCCTAGTGATGTTGACAACGGGCAAGTCGAGATGGGCAATTTGACCATGAGTCGTTCATCGGGGATGAACTCCACGTCGTAGTTAATGGATTCCGATCGGCCAACCGTCTCGCGACAGAGCCACCGAAGAACAGTGGGAGGGCTTTACCGACCCGACTCGGCTGAGCCGTCGGTGCCCGCCGCCCTCGCATTGCGCAGCTCGCGCACATCTCCCTCTTAACCCACCTGTAACATACATAGGGTGCCCACAGGACCCAAAAGAAAATAGCTTTCCGGCTCAAAAAGGGACGCACGAGGCAAATCTGATGTTGGCCAGTTCCAATAGGAGAGAGGCCTCTTCCGTTGGGGGACCGAGTACATAGGAAACGAGGGTTCCCCGGTTTGTCACGCGCGAGCGCGAGCGTGACACTGCACTTGGCGCCGAGCGCCCGCGGCTCAGACCTTGTGCAGGCCACCCCTCGGTGGTCACGCCGGTCCGGACCGATGGCGCTCGGTGTGGAGCAAGCAAGACCCCCCCCCCCCCCATCGGCGCGCGCTCGCCATTCCAACGGCCGCCAGGAGCACCAAGAGGACTCCTCATGGCTGTGACCAAGTGGGATTCGACCGGCCTCGGCTGGGGGGGCGGGTTGTCCCGGCTGCGGACGCGTTCTGCAGCCCCCTGGGCCCGTGACAGCACCCAAAAACTGCCCCTCGGCGGCATACAGCACTGCCAGCCAGCCTCTTCCTCCTCCTCAAGGGCTGTACTATAGGCCATATTGCGCCGCCTCCTACTGGCAGCCGGGCGGGCGCGCGCCGCGGGCGCCTCGGCGCGCGCACGGCTCGCAAAGTTCGAACGAGTACTGCCGCCCGGCCGCCTCAAGGCTGCCGGACGGCAGTACTCGCCTCGCAAGGCGCGCACCGGCTGCTCTGGCTGCTGCGCCGGCGGCCGCTGCGCTGGCCGCTGCTGCGCCGGCTGGCGGGCGGTACGGCCGCCGGCGGCCGCTGCACCCGCGCCTTCCCTCGCGGGCGCCGTCGCGCCGCGCGCGCCCAACTCTGGTGGCACACGGCACGCGTCGTCACTCAGCCGCGGAGAACAGGCGGTGCAGCGCGCGAAGCGCGCGCGATCTCGTACTTTTAAGGCTGGATCCGGCCATTCCAAGGGTATACCTTTGAGAATCCCCAGCGTCCCTCCCTCCTAGTCACACTCTCAATATCTCGACTGGCCAACACGAAGTGCTGCGATCTGGGGTGGCCCATTTCTTTTTTCTTTTCTTTTTTTGGGCCCTGTGGGGACCCTAATGAATCATACATCAATAAAATTTTAATGCTACGGTGAAGC